TTATGAAACTGACGATAATAGGTACCTTATAATAATTAAACCATAATTAGTCATAATTAACCATAATTAAACCATAATTAAACGATAATTAATTATAATTAAATAGATTGTCAACTATAATTAACCATGAAAAATTAAAAATCATAATAATTAATAGCGAAAAAATCTTTATATTATATTTTAAATTACACTTAAAACGAGGGTTCACCACACACACACACACACAGACACGCACACACACACACAGACACACACAAACACATACAAACACACAGACACACACAAACACATACAAACACACAGACACACACAAACACACAGACACACACAAACACATACAAACACACAGACACACACAAACACACACAAACACATACAAACACACAGACACACACAAACACATACAAACACACAGATACATTTGGTGGTTTTTTGATTACTTATGCGATTTCATTTACCTAATTGACATCATCCTTGTCAAAAGGAGGGTAACTTTCATTAAAAATGGCCTTACTGAGGTTTGTTGAGAAAATAAATTGTCATAAAAAAGGTGGAAGTGATGATAATAATATTAATAATATATAATAATAATAATAATTTTTGTGAATTTTTTATAAGAAGTAATTATTTTTTTATTTTGAAGAAGAAAAAAAAAGTATTATACAAGTGTTATGTTAGCTCCAACATCTACGTTTTTTTTCACACAATATTTTTTAAATAATTTTTATCTGATAAAAAAATTTTTTTTTTTTTAAAAAATTCCTTATTAATTTAACTAATTATTCCATTATTTATTTATTTATTCATTCATTCATTCTGTTTGACGTCATGTGTTTTTTTACTTTTGTAAATTTTTTTTTCATCCCGTCGCTGCACTTCAACTGCCTTTTTCGGCGTCATAATATTCTCAACGATGTTTTTTAAAAAATAATAATAATAATAACTATTATTATTATTATTGTTATTATTATTATTATTATTATTATTATTATTGATATTGTTTCATTTTCATCAAGATTCAAACATTTTGGGAATTTTATGATAGACTAGACCAGCAGGTCACATCAGCTTACATCGTTAGGTGGGTGGGTATCCAGGGCCGGATTTGTAGGTGTAGCTAGGCCCAGGAGCTCAAAAAATTGGCCGCCCCTTAATATTTAGTGGACCCCATAAATTTTCAAATTATTTTAATCTTCATTATCAACATGACTTTTCAAATATTCAGCCTATTCTATTCCACATTTCTACCAAAAATTCAGTAGTTTTAACAAAGAAAAAATTTGCTAAAATTACAAAGTTACATTAATTTTTGGGGGGGAAGTTCCTTTGCTGTGGAAAACCCTTATACAGGGAGGCACCTGGGTGGTAGCACCAACGGCCCTGCCTTAAATTCGGCTATAGTAATAATCATTATTGTGATAACACCACAAAATAAGCAAAAAAAAAACAGCAACGCTAAATTATACTATGTCATACTATGTCATGCTATATACTATAGGCAATAATATGTTAACAACACACACACACACACATATACACGCACGTACACACATACGCCATACACTCAAATTTTGCAGAAAATAAACAGAAAACAATGCAAACCTTGGCTATACTTCTTATACTAGTAATAAATAAACTCTAAATAAACTCACATAAACATTAAAATTAGTTATACACACACACGCACACACACACGCGCACACACACTCACACACATTACAGAGTCGCTCGCATAATGACGTATATGTTGTACTTTATCCACGTTGAAGCCTGTTTATACTTTGCCGTCTGCGTCTACATCGGTGTTGGCAAGGATGGCTGGGTCTGGTCTGGTAAAACAAACCCGTTAGGAGGATTATTTTTCCAAATTTAAAATAAGTGAAATTAAGATTTTATAGTTTTTTATCCTACGAAAATCAATGAGCGACTGCTAGATGGGGCAATAATATAATGTCATATATAGAGTAATACAGTATGCAAGTACACGTGTGTGTCTGTGTGTGTGTGTGCGTGTGTGTGTGTGTGCGTGTGATTTGAGGTGGAGTTCATTTTGAGAACTCCCTTCGAGAATGCTATAAGAATGGCGCAATGTTATGTTAGTAAAAATATTTCATTAAAAATAAACTCGTTCAAGAATGTAGATAATCATGAAATGATACAACTGCACTGAACTAGGTACATCCACTCCATGTACCTGGCCACGAAGACGGCAGCCTGCATAGGTAACAATTGGAACCCCACCAACGTACTAGAGTTTGCTTTCATGACCTTCTATTGGCTTCTCGGCATTTTTATATTCGCTCTTCTCATTGGTCAGGTTAGATCTATCTTTAGATTAAAGGGTGACGTCATTAATGTTGATGGTGACGTTAATAATGGTGATTTTTTTTAATGTTTATTATAAATTAAAGTTTTGCACACAGAAAACGTAAAAACAGATCACTAAAATATTTGCTATTGTTTCTAAAAATTTAAACTCAAAAATTTTTGAAAAATCAAAAAACTTTAAAAACTGCTTCTGAATTGAATGTAAGATTCGAGATATCTTTCGAGCGCTGGACGCAAACAGGGACAAATACCGCAAGTCGATCGACCAGGCGATGTTCTATTTGAAGTCTCTTGGAGTGCCCCAGGAGATGAGGGATAGAGTCAAACTCTGGTTCACTTACAACTGGGATAACTCGAAAACATTGGGTGTGTATGTGTGTGTAAGCATAAATGTGTGTTTTTTGGCCATGATATGAGTTTCTGTATATAATGCATGTCACCTTATTCTTCAACTCATCGCTGTACTTGCAAATCACATTGTTGTTAGATACACGCCACGCATTGAAATTTCACTGCAAATTTTATTTATACTACGTACTTATTACCCACGAGGTACTTATAATAATGTACTACTTAGATGAAAATTCCTTGCTCGATCCACTGCCAAAAAAGATGAAGACAGACATGGCGATACACGTGCATCTATCGACACTCAGTAAAGTCAGTCTTTTCCAGGTTAGAAAGTTAATAAAACTGATTGCCATTATCTTTTTTGTCATCGTCGTCGTCATCATCGTCATCTTCTTCTCCATCATTGTCGTCGTCCTCACATCTTCATCAAAATAATTCAGGATTGTGAGAAAAGTCTTCTAAATGATTTGGTGCTCAAATTGAAACCGGTCCTGTTTTTGCCTGGAGATTATATATGCCGGAAGGTTGGAATAAAGAAAAATTATTTCCACTTTAACTATGGCAAAATGAAATGGCAAAATAAAAATAAAATAGAATACCAAATCAATATGTTTCAACTGCACTCTCAGACATATTTGCATAGCAATGTATAATACTACCAAATATAAATATCCATAGTGATGAATGAATTTTTTTAATTATAAATAATAAAATGTAAATTAGTTAATAATATATCTTGAATAATTCTGAAAAAAATTTTTAAATACGCAGGGAGAGGTGGGAACAGAGATGTACATCGTGAAAATGGGGCTAGTTGAGGTTGTAGGCGGTCCTAACAATAGCATCGTGTTTGCTACGCTTAAAGAAGGGAGCGTTTTTGGCGAAATAAGGTATGACAGTTTTTGAATTTTTATAAATATAATATCAATAATAATTGTAGTAGCAGTAAAAGTAGTAGTTTTTGTATTAATAGAAGTCTAGCAATTTGATCAATCGAATATTTATGACTTTATTTTCTTCATCATAAGTTGCTATTGCTAGAGTGAAAGTTCAATTGCTAGGAATGAGAAGAGGCTGAAAAATCAAAGTCTATTAAATATTTAAATTTTTGGTCTATCCCCTCTAAATACCATCTCCACAAAACTTTTAAACAGACGTACAACGAAGTGTACAATCAAATTAGGATAAACACCCAAACAATAATTCTAGTTTGTATAAAATAAATCTCACAACGAATTCAGCAAAACTCATACAATGCATTCAAAAGTTGAAACCATACTAAAACGACCGACTTCTAGTTTGTTAGCACTAGCAGGAGGAAACAGAAGAACTGCCGACGTACGATCAAAAGGATTCTCCCAACTCTTCCTCCTATCAAAAGCCGACTTTGAAGAGGCAATGGAAGACTATCCGGAAGCCTATAAGATGCTAAAACACAAATCTAAGTTTGTTTCATTTATAATTGGTTAAACGTTTTGTAGGTACATGTTTTAAAAAAATTTAAACTGCATTTTTTTTCATTAATATTTGTTTAATTTTTACAGAAAATTACTCTCCAAAAATAAAAATACTTTGGAAAAGAAGGAATCCACCGTTAAGGCAGAGGATGAGCAGGGTCCCAAGTTGTATCAGACTGTCCTGAAAGTAAGATGATACATTTTGTATCCAACCGTGTTTTAATATGGATACTTGTGAAAGAGTTATTATAGACTAATACAAACTTTTAATTCAAAAATAGGCCGTTGAGAAGAACACAGATTTGCAAACGAAGTTGCCCATCTTAAACAAACTGCAAACCTGGAACACAAACTTGCGTCAGATTGTTCGTAAAAGAAATTCAAAGAAAGGTCTCAAGCCGTTAAAGGAAGAGGTCATCACAGATGAAGAACTTTTGAAACGGGTGAACGTCAAGCCGACGATGATGACGAGTAAGAAATACTCGCGTCTCATTAAAGTCGAATCTGAAATCGAAGAGGAATCGAATATTGGTAAAGATCCGACAAAGGAGGGAAAGGAACAAATTGAAAACTGGATAGAGATTGAGGAGAGATTAGTAAAAGTTGACATCGATAGAATACCATCCAACCCTCAAACTGAAAACGGTCAGATACAAAAAAATCAGATATCGATCGCAGATCATGAAAATCTGATTCAAAATGGCGCAATACAGCACAAAAACCAACCTAAACGACACAAAAAACCAATGAAGAAGAACAAAGTTGCAGATGTATCGCAACAAAGTTCGCGAAGTCCATCCAGCTATGCCTCAAGTTCAGAAAATCTTAATGGCGTGACCAACCTTAGAAACAACCGTGTAGTTGAATATATCATTGAAGAAAGTTATCTCTCTCGACTGTCTAAGAAAATTGATCTAAGGAATGAAAAAATGAAAAATGATACAACTGTTTGATTTTGTTACAATTTGCATAAACGTTTTTACAATAATTTCTTTTAATTAATTAATTAATTAATGTTCTTGATTAACAAGATTAAATTAACAATCATAACAGTTTATTCTTTGGTAAAAAATTCACAGTTACTTAGCTTAAATAAAATGCTAATCAACAGAATTTAATGATTGAATAAGCTTAAATAGATAACATTAAAAAACGTATTAAAACATCTGAATGGAAAGAAAACGTTCTACAATATCGATATATATTAATTTAACTTCGCTTCTTTCTCAAATTCCCAAAAGAAATATACAGAATTCTTAAATCAAATGTGAATTGTCACTCAACGAAACTGCTCTGTATAAATAAGTAAAGCAGCAAAACTCGTTCGTATATATGTAAACGTTTATCATTTCCACAGAACATTTCACATCCAGGCAGCATTAAAACCAAAAATAATTAGGAGTGTAAAGTTCTTTACAAAATAACGATATTTATTTCTGACATTATCGGAAATGTAATAAGCTTGTACAAGTGAACTATTCAAATTCACAAATCTTCCAATTTGGTGGAGGCCAAATACTTCGGTCTATCTTTGTTAGTGGGTGTTTTGGAAAGGCAGGTCAGATGTTCACTGGATACTTCGAAATCTTTGCAGTCAACAGTGGCACAATTCAAGTAAGAATTAAGGTGAATATTTTTACAAGTAAACTGACAGTCATCGCCATTGATTCCGTAGCCAGAATCAGTAGAGAAGACCGACATGCTACTCGAATAACTACTCAGTGTTGAATCGAAACAACCGCTTTCAAGAGTGGCGGCCTTTGGTCGATCGCTTTTGAAAGAACGACTCCCAGTGTTAATGAATTTATTGTTTTCGTCTACTTTACTGACGACGCTGAAACCGCCGAGTGAACTGCGGTTGTGAGCTGATGGGGCATGTTTCAAATTCATTCCCGTATTGAAGTCTGATTTAGTTTGATCAAAGTTTGCATCTTTACAGCTGAACTTATCAACGTCTGCATCTTTTATGAGCTTGTTAACGGCAGCTGACTCCAAACTTGTTCGTCTATCTTGAGTTATGCAGCCTCTAACGCATTGCTTGAAACATTGAAGCCAATGCTGTTTATCCAACTCATTGTCGGCTCTCAGGGTGTGTCGAGTTTTACGGCCCCCAAAGTAAACCAAACCATTTTCGGCGCCATCATCATCCTGTTCACTGTAGCTGACCAACTCGATGAAGCAATCTTTGTTGTTGTTTGATTGAAACTGTCCTGATGTTGTGCTGGCGTTTGAATACAACGACAGGCTTGTTCTGCCTAAATAATTTAATGTGATTATTAATATATTATAGTGTAATAATTGATATACTAACAAAAGTGAGACTAACTTTGGTTTGACATGCTAGAGAAAACACTTCTGAATGACGAAGAGGCCCTGGATGAAAATGATTCCATTGAATTTTTAGAACTGTGCTCCGGAAATGAAGAGTTTTGATGTTGACACTTCAATTCACTGCTATTGTCAATTATGGTCTCGTGATCATCAAGACATTCACTGATGTTTGATCTTTCTCTGTTACACTGCCTCAACTCTTTCAATTTTTCTCTATTAAATGTAACAGATTTTAAAGGTTGATTTGGTTCAATGAGAAATAATTTGTTCATAGCAACTGGCTTCCTATAAACTCTGTACTTGATCACATTATTTTTGGCTGTTACAGGCCTTGTTAGGACCATAACCTTGTCAAATAAAAATACATGTAACTTTATGCCCCTTCTGTTCTTCAATATACCATCACACAGAATGAATGAAGACTCTGAAATCAGCTCTGTGACTTGTTTCAAGTCTTCATACTCCAACTTGTCAACAATGTATTTGCACCTAGCTAATCCTGTATTGTAGTCAACATCTTTGATGACTTCCTCCACCAGGTCTATTGATTCTAGAAGCAAATTGTAATCATCGTGATCAGTGTCTGTATACTTGTGGATGGTTTTGAACATGAGAGGATATTTTACAAGACGACTTCTTGGTATGTCTAGAAATGTCCACAAATCTAATTTCCTGCTGAATGGAGAATTGAGACATCTGTTGAGAAAATCTCTCAGAGATTCATTTTCTTTTGTTTTACAGTCCAGCAAATCTTTTGAGTGAATTAGGTTGGTGCAGTAGAGAACATAAATGATTAGTTTAGGTATCCAAGTAAGCAGTATATCCCCAACGAATTCAGTTCGACCATCCGACAGACGCTGCTCAACTAATTTTGCAGCTAATTCGCGATGGATTGGCAGTAGGGAATCAATCTCCCCAAAAATAATAGTCAGTTCATCCTCGTTCAAAAGATTCAGTTTTCTCATTGACTCTCTGTAAGTGTTGCAAATCATTTGAAGGTCTTCAATCAAATCCACTTCACTTTTAAACAATTCAAAAATGGCTTCTTGTCTGTCCAACTGCTTTTTATTCATCTTGTCTATGTCACATTTCGCAAGAGACTCATGCCAGAAAGCTGTTTGCCTTACAAAATGGAAGCAGTTTGTTGCTGACAATTCACCTAATTTGTCATTAGATAATTCAGACGATAATTTCTTGACAACTTTTTTGTCTGTTAGTGATTTGTGAAATGCATCTCCAAACTTTTTAATTGATAAAATTGGGGATAAAAACTCACTAACTTTCGAAACTTTTCGTTTTTTAGATTCATCCAACGTTGCATTAGTCAACAAACGAACTTCTCTACTTTCGGCGTTTTCAGTTTTTTCCTGACTAGCGTCACTGACGTTGTCATCTTTTTTAACTCTTTTGTTCTTTTTACGAAAGTCATAAGTTTTGCCGCGAAAAAACTCGTCAATTTTAATTTTAGAAGTTTTCAGGGAAGCCCTGAGAATGGAGGAACCGGAGCATGACTTTGTGGCACATTCCTCTGAAGATGTCGAGTCGTTAAAACTTGCTTCAATCATTTTAATTATATATTGTATGAGAACTCTCAAATTCATATACAAAATGATCTTCCCGACTTAATTTTTCACTTTTAAATTTGAAATTGACAGTAGTTGTTTAATAAAAAAATGACAATTAAATAATAATTCACGTATCAGTGTACTTTGCAGCTTTTAAAAAATATTCCATTATTTAATTTTCATTTTCGTTCGCATAGAGTTGTAAGAAATAAAATGTTTTTCAAATTTGGCGCTTTACTGACAACATGGAAAGAAAGTACAAAGAACTAAGTTGTAAATCCACTTATTGAATCCATCATTTTGTAAGATTTTGCATAAATTTAAGTCGTTTATTGAACGTTTAAATGAATAAATTATATTTTATAGAGAACAATTTAATAAAATACTTCAAAGTTAATTAGAAAGATCAATCACAATTCAGATCTTATATATGAAATGCAGTCAGTTTATCCAAAAAAATTTTTTTCAGTATATGAACAGAAAGAAGCACATATGAAAGTAAATGTAAAAAATCAAAAAAACATGTGCATGCATCAGTTTATAATATATCAAATAAAATAATTACTATTTAAGTCTAATAAATAAATTCGTTTGAAAAATTTAATTTCTTCTAGTCGGTGATTGATAATTCTGAAAGTTCTGCTGATTGTAACTCCTAAAATTAGGATCATTCACGTCATTCATTGGTTTGTTATGTTGGCTGTATTGTTCTGGAGGTCTGTTAGAGAACTGATTGGCTGGTTTGTTGTTGACGTAAGGGTTCCTAACTTGGCTAGGATTACCGGAAATAAATTGATTATTTTGAAATTGTTGTTGCTGTCTTTGTTGTTGAAGTTGTTGAGGTGGTAACTGCTGTTGCTGCTGCTGCCGTTGTTGTTGCAGTTGCGTTTGTTGTGGTTGTTGATGTCTTTGAAGTCTGTTCTGTTCAAATCTGGCGTCATTTGGTTGCTGGTTGATTGTTTGATGACTGTTTTTAGACTGTTGTGAGGCTAACTTTTGAGGAATTTGCTGTGGCGGATAGTATTGCTGTGAGTTGATGTCGTTGCTGAAGTTACTGGACGGTTTTGGTTTAGAGCTGTTTCTTAAGTTTGGATGCGATACTGCGTTGACGTTGTCTATATAATTTGGCTGCTGCAGTTGTTGTTGCGGTTGTTGTGGGTATTGTTGTTGTTGGTGCGCTTGTTGTGGGTATTGTTGTTGTTGGTGCGGTTGTTGAAGGTATTGTTGTTGTTGGTGTGGTTGTTGTTGTTTCTGATGGATGTTTTGTTGTTGATGAACGTATCTCTGCAAATCAAAATTATTATCAGCCGTATTTGAATTGCTATTGTTGTTAGCGCTAACCTTCATGCTATTAACTCTATCTGCCACTCTATCCATGTTTATATTGTGATTATTGATAAGATTATTACTTGAATTTTGTTGCTGTAGTTGTCGTAGCTGCTGCTGATTTTGTGGCTGCTGTTGCTGCTTCTGTAGCTGCTGTTGTGTGGTGACGTCATTAAGATTGATGATGTTGTTGTCAGTAGGATGATAAACAAACATTTCAAGGACAGGCCTTCTAGTGATGTAATCAACAGCTTTCTTGTGAGTCACCATGGTCATATCATGTCCATTCACCTAAAAATATTATTTTTGATCTTTGACTTTTAAAGAATTTAAGAAAAAATTAATTGAGACATTTCAAAATTACGCCATTTAAATGTAAAAAGCTTTTGATATTTTATTTTAAAATAATAACTAAACATAATTAATTATTAATTTTTAAAAGTGTACACATACTTGCAGAATTTTATCATGCTCTTTCAGACCAGCAACATAAGCCGGGCTGTCCTCGTACACATGTGTTACATATATTCCCTGGCGAAAAAAAAAATATACAAATTGTCAGTTTACTAAAATAAATTTGCCGTTATTCTTTAGAATTGATAACATAAAATATTAAAAAGTAATTTTTGAAAAAATTTGTGACATTTCAATTCACACCACCTTATCAGGGTAACCTTGTGGACTTTTTGTATTATCCTGATCAATCCCACCGGCGATTTTAAATCCACTTTTAAACATTGGCCGACCATCTTCAGCTAAAACTGGATTGCCTAAACTGTCTAGGACTGGTGTCTTATGTAGGATTACCTGATTCTGAGCAATGTTAAAAACTAAAAAGTAAGACTACGATTGAATTTTTATATCTGCCTACCTCTACAATTTTTTACTATCTACATCAAATATAGTACACAATTATTAATGAATGAATTGATGAAAATAACATTGATTAAATTTCAAAAATAAACTGAATACACTTGAAAAAAAAACACACATACCACAAAACATTCAACTTGTTCACCAGCAGTAAATGTTGCCATTTTTAATAATCTTGAATTAACGATTTACAATATGACGATAAAAAATGTTTATTTTTGTTGATATCAAAATGATTTTCAATAATTTTTTATTAGTAATTTTTAAATTATAAAAGACTAAACTAAATTAAAAGTCGTACTAGAAACTAGATGACTTCAAATTGAAATAAATACTGTTAAGTTTAGAAGATAAGAATAACAATAACCACAAAATAAATAATAAAAATGTTTATTTAACGATAAAATATAATTTAAATCAACAAAAGTATCAATTTACAACTCGATTTAATTATATTTCAACCGAATAATAATAATAATACATAAATAATTTGCAAGTTAGGTAACCTAAACAATACCTACCTGTATTAGTTATTCTACCTGGGTTTTTTAATTATGTAGCCAAAGATAGTGTATGTGTATTAAATTTTTTTAATGTTAAATGCCAGCCAGTATAGTGTATTTAATAGCCATTTGCTATTAAAAATAAGTTTAATTCAACATATATTTAATTTTATTGCTAACTTGTACATGAATTTATTTTAAATTTTATAAGTCATGAAATTTTTTTCTAAACAACGTGACGAAATAGGTGAAATCTATCTATTTTGAGAGCCATATCTCCGTAATCTCTCATTCAAAACATACAAAACAGCTAAGAAATATGTGATTAGAATCACATATACACACATACACGCACACACACACACACACACACAAATACATACACACATACTCAAATTTAACGATAATATGATAAATAAAATATTGAATTATGTATTTTGTTCTCAACATGAATCATGAATCTTTAGATCAAATACCATTCATTCCATTCAGACACACACATATATACGCACGCGCACACGCACACGCAAACAAACACACAAACATATACATACACACATACATACATGTATATATAATATATATATATTCTCTATTCTGTCATTCTATATGTGATTTTCAATACTTTGCAATTGTTGAACTTGATATGTTATCGGCAGAAAGAATTAAACCAAACTAAATGATTGAATAATTGACTAGTTAATTTTAATATAATTTCATTATATAATAATAAAAAATAATAATTATGATGATAATAATAAATTATGAAGGTTAAACGTCATCATCATCAGTGGTGGGTTTTTTGCACGTACCTAATAACTCTATGGTGCAACCTGACTTCATCACGTGGTAATAATAATAATAATACTACTACCACTACCACCACCACCACCACTACTACTACTACTACTACTACTACTACCACTACTACTACTACTACTACTACTACTATCACTACTACCACCACCACTACTACTAATACTTTAATTACTACAACTAATAATAATAATAATGATAATATTAACAATAATAATATCAACAATAATAACCCAACCAAACAGCTGATGCAACGGATCGCCAGTGTTTGGCGTCTCAGTTCAGATGCAGCGCTGACGGTAGCTGCATATCCTCGCGCTGGAAATGCGATGGCATTCGAGATTGCTCCGACGATGAGGATGAGATCAACTGTCGTAAGTCATGTTTACTACTGCTACTACCACTACTACTGCTGCTGCTACCAATACCACTACTGCTGCTTATGATACTACTACGACTATTTATTAGCAGCTGTAGCAGATATGTAATAATTAGTAGATGCAGCAACGAGAATGCAGTTAAATTTAACTTCATATAAATATTGAAACGCATCTCTACACACACACACACATATACACACACACACCCTCACATATATACACACACACACATATACACTCATACACACACACACATGTACACGCACCCACGCATACACACACAGCTAAAACCAGTACTGAACGCGCAGCAGCGACAACAACGACAACGACGACAACTTTTAAATGTTCTGCCGGCATGTTTGCGTGTTTAGCTGACAAAATGTGCATCACTGATTCATGGAGGTGTGATTCTATTAAGGACTGCTCTGACAATCAGGATGAAATCAATTGTGGTAAGTTCACTTTTGACGTAGAATTTATTAATTCGATGGTAAAATTTGTTATAGTAGCTCATACTCGAAGTGTCGGGGTTCGATAACATGGTGAGGTCTTATACTTTTTAGTTATTAATGCTGATTATTAAAGACAATTGGAATAAATATAATTATTAATATTGTTAATTGACGTCATTGCATAAATTTATATTTTGTATTATTGATAATGTAAGAAAGGGAGTATAAATTGAAAGGTTAGTAAAACTACGACAACTACAACAATCACCTCAGCTACAACAACCTTATGGTTGTTGTAGCTGAGGTGATTGTTGTCCTAACCCTAACCCTACGACAGCTACAACAACAACCACAGCTACAACAACCACGACTACGACAACTACAACAACAATCACAGCTACAACAACTACAACTCCGACAACTACAACAACAGCCCCAACTACAACAACCACAACTACTACAACTACAACGACAAAGGCAACAACAAAAAATTCCTTAATTTGCAACCAGACAGATGATACATTATGTGGGATTGACGTGAAGAGATGCGTTCCAAAAAGCTGGCTCTGTGATGGCATTTTCGATTGTGACGATGAAAGTGATGAAGACAATTGTCGTTAGTTTAGCTTTTTTTTCAATCTTTGCATTAATAAATAATAATATTATTATCAATTAATCAATTAGTTAATTAATTATTAATTATTTAATTGATTAACTAATTCAATAGCTTGTGAAATCGGGCAAATTAGGTGTGAACCGCTGGCAACGTGTCTAAACAAAAGTCAGATTTGCGATCAGATAAGACAGTGCCCTGATAATATTGACGAGTCCAATTGTGGTTAGCTTTGCATGAATGTTTTTAAAAACATCAACAACAACAACAATAACAACCACAACAACAGCAACAATAACAACAACGACAACAACAACAACATCATCATCAACAAAAACAACAACATCAATATCAAAAACAACAACAACAACAACAACAACAACATCATCATCATCAAAAACAACAACATCAAAAACAACAACGACAACAACAACGACAACAACAACGACAACAACGACGACGACAACAACAATCAATTTATACCGTAATAGATTGCCAACCTAGCCAGTACAAATGTTCAACAGGCGAATGCATACATAGAAGTTTGCTGTGTGACCATATTAAGGACTGTACCCAAGGAGATGATGAAGATGTCGGCAGATGTCGTAAGTGAAGCGACCACATAGTCCATCATTTTGTTATTGTTTGTTCTGTAAAACATTAAGCTCTGGCATATTTTGTGTCATTGTTATTAAAGGTATTGCTGATGTTTTTGTCTTGGCTGTTTTAGATATATTGTCAACTTCGAATCGTGGCATTTAATGATATTTTAAATTTAAATATTTTACATAATTTATAAATTTAAGTTTAGTATTTTTAAAAATATTCTAATAAAGATAAATTTTAAATTAAGAAAATTAAATTTAATATAAATTAACTACCAGCTACATGTGACTCCACCCACTTCATGTGCCACCAATCACGAGTCTGTATTCCAAGTCACGTGGTCTGTGACGCAAAAGTTGATTGTACGGATGGCTCTGATGAAGTCAATTGCGGTGGATTTTTAAAAATAATTACTAATTTCACATTAAAAACAAAACAAAAACCAAAAAAATGAACCTCGGAATATTCAGATGCTTGCAAAATACGACAACCAGCTGCAAGCTATCCAGATGTGCATTCATTCGCATGAATGCCATAAACCAGTGAACAAACCAAACATTCATATTGTTACAATCATTAATATACATTCCAAAGAAAAACAGACATGAAAATAAACATGCAAACAAAAAAATAAATGAACAAACAAACATTCAAACGAACACACAAACAAACAAACAAACAAACGAACACACAAACAAACAACTAAACACACAATTAAACAGCAAACCAGAGCCGATCCAACGAAACAAACTCGCGATTCAAATGTGGCAAGAGAGGTTCATACTTGGATAGCATCGAGTCATACTTAGTAAATGGGAATTTGGCTAAAAAATCAGCCTGGCCTTGGCACGTACAGGTCTATTTTAATAACTTGTTTACATGTAGTGGAAGTCTCGTCGCGTCAAGTTGGATTCTAACCGCTGGACGGTGCCTCAAGTAATTCGTTTGTTATGATGGAGAAGATGGTGAGGATGATGAAGATGATGATGGAGATGATGGTGATGATGAAGATGATGGTGGTAATGATAAAGAAGATGGTGATGATGAAGATGATGGTGAGGATGATGATGGGGATGATAAAAATGATGGTGATGATGATGAAGATGATGGTGGTAATGATAAAGATGATGGTGATGATGATGAAGATGATGGTGGTAATGATAAAGATGATGGTGATGATGATGAAGATGATGGAGATGATGGCGGTGATGATGAAGATGATGGTGAGAATGCTGTTGTTGTTGTTGCCATGGTTCTGGTTATGTTTTTGTGTCTTTCCGGTTGGCAGTGGTCATATGTTTTCCTCTGTCTGAGCCGATGGTTTCATCTCTTTCACGTCTGCTTTTAAGAAGATAAACAATAATTTTTACATTTTAAAAATATTTCTGCTTTTGTTCTAATGCCTTTAATGCATTGCGTGTTGCACCATGCGTTTGACAATTTGATTTCTTTCAAAAAAAAAAATATATTTCTCATTTTAAACACAAGAGGCACCAAGAAATTTCACATCCAAAAACCTATAGGGACTCAAAAGGTCACAACCTTCCAGCTTCCAACTTCACAGTCAAAATAGGCGACAACACTTTGTACGCATACACTGCAGCAACCTACCAAATAAGTAGTACTGTCAGCTTTGGATTCAATCCAGCCACACGCGCCATGGATTTGGGTCTGCTAAAGTTGACGAAAGCTCTTCAATTCAGTGATAATACTGCTGCTGATGTTGTTGCGGCTACTGTGTGGCCCGTTTGTCTGGCAGCTAGTGGCGATGACGTCACAAGATATGACGTATGTGTGGTGTCGGGATTTGGAGTTACCGATCCAAGTAAGTTGAGAAAAGTCTTTCATATTGTTTGTTGAAAAGTTTCGATGTAGTTGAAACTTTTGAAATGATTTCGTTTCATTAAAAACACATCGTCACAACCCAATTAACCTCCAACGGCAGCTGGTTCCTCTCCCATCTCCCAAAAGTTACTCCAGGGTCGGATGAACCTCCTCAGTTACGATGACTGCTTCTCAAACATACTATCATTCAGCAACGTGACTCTTCAGCAGCTTGAGGGCCTCATTCAGAAACCTTACATGATGTGTGCTGGTTCAATCCCTACCATGGAAGGCGTCAATATTTGCACGGTTAATGATCGATCGATGGCTGATTAATAATATTATTATACATTACATTGCATAGGCACACATACAAACAAATTCACGCATGCATACACCATGTATTACTTAACAGTAGATTAATACATTCATTAATGTGTTCTCTAGCTCGGCGTTTTTCAGAAACATGATTAAGAATGATTATGTGCTAGAGTTTAAATGGCATTTAAGCAGCCATGATTTTGACCTTTGACCTTCAACTATTTAGGGCGACGCGGGCGGCCCTCTAATGTGTAGGGATCCCACAAACTTTCAGTGGTTCCAGGTGGGGATAGCCTCACACACGTACCTGAACAGGCAGAAGAACAATCTATGTATTGCAAGCATCTTCACCAACGTTTCTACGTTTTCTTCAGTTATTAAATCAGTTATGGAAATGTTTTGAGTACGACAGTTCGGTTGGTTTTTGTAGTAGGTCGATGGTTTTTTTCAACATTTTTTCCCGCTTTTTTATGTTCTTTCGCTGCTGACTTTAAAAAATTAGTGATTTTCAAATTTGTTACTAAAAGACATAAAAAATACTTCGTGAAATTGTTTTTTAAAATTGAAAAATAACGGCTCAGTCGTATTTTGATTTTGCGAGAATTTATTCGCATGCCTACCAAACGATGGTTGATACCCATGCAATCAGTGGGATGCATTGTACAATTGTCATACATTTTCCAACTGCTGCTATTACTGCTGCTACTGCCACTACTACAACTATTCCTTCTACTACTACTACCAATTCTGTAAACAACACTCATAACAATAATAATAATATTAATAAAAAAAATTTTGACCAAATTGATTAAGAACAATTTGAACAACAACAATAATAATAATAATTTGTCAACCAATCACATTAGGTCAATAATTAATATCATTGCAATCATCATTAGTATCATGATACAACTGCGCGTTATCTTGCAGTTGACTATCATCGACATGATATGGTATTGAGGTATCTTTAATGTCACTATCAAAATAACTGGTGTACTGGCTGTTGTTTGAGACGGTTTTTTCATTACCGCAGCTGTTGTCGTTGCGGTACTTGCTGCTGCTGCTGCTACTGCCAGCGTTTAGCTTCTTAGGTAGCTGAAACAACAAAAGAAATAATATTAATATTTATAACAATAATGGAAAGCCTTTTATTGCAACCAAGAGACGACGAAATTGTAAAATCAAATACTCTACTAATTAGACCATTTAGAACTGTACCTTATACGATAATAAATTATCTATATATTTATATAAATTATAATAAAAAAGACTGTTGTACATACAATTATTAAGAAATTGAAGCGATATTTTTCAATAAATTTTTAATTAAATGGTTAATTAATAATATATAATAATGATATCTACCATGCTATCTGGCGGTCGAGTGCCGTTCAGAATCTCTCTGGCTACTTTGTACTCCTCTTGAAGCTGTTCATACGCTCTCTCGTCTCGTCCGGTTTTTACGTCCATCTTGTAACCTGCCGCGTGTTTCAGTGAGTGAGTGAATGAGTGAAAGAATGAATAAATGAATGAATGAGTGAGTGAGTGAGTGAGTGAGTAAGTGGATGAGTGAATGAGTTTTTCAATCGATAGACCGGCTGTTCATATCTCTATTATTGATAAGCAATGGAAACAAACAAACGAAAAAACATTACAAAAATATTTTCAACGGTTATGTGAATAAAAAGTAATAATTTCATTTTAACTTGGCAACTTTTTCGGCATATCCCAAGTGCTTACAAAGTTGCTGAACTTTCTGATGTTGCTATCCTGGCCCGACTGCTGTTTGTAAGTCGGTAAGAGATGGTATCGATCATCAATTATCGGTACTAACGGTTTTTTAGTCGCTTTTCGTGATACTCCAATATTGGATTCGTTGCATTTCTGTATTTTTTTTTTGAAAAATATATCTGTTTGAAGAAATAATGTACGGGTTTAAAGTGGCTGGTTCTGTCTGTGTATATTGCTGTGTTACCGGGTTCGAATTCATAGAGATGCACAGATACATCGTACGTGTGTTGTGTGTGCGTGCGTTTTTGTGTGTGTGTCTTTGTTCACACCTGTGAGTAATTTTAAGAAAAGAAAAAAAAACATACTAATCACCTTTGGTACTTCCCAATTTCGCATTTTTGTGGAGACGAAAGCATTTTCAAACTGTAATAACATAATAATAATAATTATAATTTTTATAATACATATATAATTATATTATTGTAATTTTAATAATTATTATCATTATATTAATATAACCTGATTAGCGCTGTAACTTTTGGACATTTTTGAAAACTGATTTTTTGTGTCTCATTAAAACTGAGTTCTTAATATATTTCGTTAAAACATAGTAGTGCTATACATAAATTACTGTTGGTAAATGCATTTAAAATACTGTTTTATGAAATAACGATTTGCTTATATAAACACACAGACTCACACACACACACAAACACACAAACCCATAAATATATATACAATAGTCTACAGTAATAATACACGTGTGTTTGTGTTTACATAATAGTCATGGTGATTGTACCAAAAAAGAATTTATGGCAAAAGGCAATTAATATATAGGGAAAGTGTTTTTAAAAACACACTTAGATAGACATAGACAGACACACACACACACACACACACACACACACACACACACACACACACAGACACGCAAACACACACTTACGCACACACACACACACATACACAGACATATATATATATATATATATATATATATATATACATACATACAGACATAAATATCGATATACTATGTTTATTGATATAAAAATATTTGTTACCTTGTTGTCATAGTCACACATACCAAAGACTATAAACTTTCTTTTGCAAGTTAAGCGCTTATTAGCAAACACAAATCTACACAAGTAGTAGTAGCATTTCTATTACTACTACTCCTTCTACTGCCACTATTACTACTACTAATAATAATGATACTACTACTACTACTACTACTGTTTGTGGTAGCGCTGCTGTTATGCTATGGGGCATAGTTAAAATACCATCTGCCGAAAACTCAAAGAACATTGTGGTTGTGATAGAGTTTCTGTATTTTTGGCACAAAGATTTAAATAACAATTTAGTATAGAATAACATGTAGGCTGTAACAATTTGTATTAGAATAACATACAAGTGGCTCTGAGTTTGACAGAGCTGCATTATACAGAATTAAAAAGTAGTTACATAGGTGTGTTGTGTAAGTCTTTTAACATTTGAGTTAGTAGTAGAAGTAGTAGCAGCAGCAGAAGTATTAGCAGTAGTAGAGTTAGTAGTAGTGATAGTAACTAATATTAGCTAACCATAGTGATACAATTGCTAAGAATTATATGAACCATCAGTACGTAAAACGTTTAATGCCTTAAACGTGTTTGAGAAATGCCAAGTTTGTTAGTTTTTAAGCATGAAATACATTCACGCTCTTATGCAAGGCACGCGTGTTGCCTTAATCGTCATAAAAACAATAATAATAACATCAGTAAGTTGTTATTATTTTCATTCATTTATTTATTATAATAATAATTATCTAATTACTGGTTCCTTCGTAATGAGAATTAGTATTTTTGCGGAATAATCCAGTACTTTATTTCATAAGCTTCGCACAAACTGTTTCATAAATTCTCTCCTCTCTGTTTCCATCTACTTTGTGGCAAATGATAAGAAACATTTTCTTTTTAGGTTTGGTTTATTCAAAAATTTTTTTTAAGTTAATTTTGAAATACTTTTCTTCTTTTCCTGCTACTTCTTAAGCATTATGGTCGCTGTATTTTTCAACCTCTCTTTCAGAATTTTTCAGGTTTTTAGCTGTTTGTTTTTCAGTTGTTAACCCTTCAATCATAAGTTCAATCTGTCTTTAACGGCTAAAAATAATTCAAATTTGTTTGTTTCGTCCAGTTTATAGTTTCAATTTCTCAGATTGGGTGGCCCAACAAGTGCAAACTTTGGGCCTCCCTTGTGATGTATTTTACTGAATTTAAGGTTTTTTTTTCTACTGCCACTACTGTTAAATAGTAATACTGCAATTATCAAACAAGATGTCGTGATAAATTATAAACACACACACATAAACACACACACACGCACACACACACAATGTGCGACATTTAGCATTTAAGTTTGATCACGATGTTTAAATAATCATGATCACAAAAAAAATTATTATAGGTAAATGATCGATTGGTTAATTAAATAAATGATCGATTGAATGAGTGAATGAATGAATGAATGAATAAATGAATGAATAAATAAATGAATGAATGAATGAATGAATGAATGAATAAATGAATGAATGAATGAATGAATGAATAAATAAATGAATGAATGAATGAATGAAGGAAGGAATGAATGAATGAATGAAAAAAATGAGCGAATGAATGAATGAGCGAATGAATGAATCTATATGTATATTATTTTACATATTAATTTTTAATAAAAATCCATGAGTAACGTTGTAAATGTCAACGACAATCACAATAAAAACAACAGCAAAAACAACAACATCATCAACAACAATAATAATAATAATTATTATTATATTAATAATATTATTATTGCTATTATGACAGCGATAAAAAATCAATAACAAAATAGATCTAATTTTAGTGAGAGAGTCGTGATTAACCTGAATAGAATAAACATAACTATTCTATAATTTTGTGTATGTATGTATGTATGAACGTATGTATGTATGTATGTATGTATGTATGTATGTATGTATGTATGTATGTATGTATGTATGTATGTATGTATGTATGTATGTATGTATGTATGTATGTATGTATGTATGTATGTATGTATGTATGAACGTATGTATGTATGAACGTATGTATGTATGTATGTATGTATGTATGTATGCATGTATGTATGTATGTATGTATGTATGTATGCATGCATGCATGCATGCATGATTCAATCACAAGAGACATACTTATTTGAAGACACAACAATGAAAACATGTTTAGTGCACTTGGAATCTATACACACACACACACACAAACACACACATGTATATATATATATATATACACACACACACACACACACACACACACACACA